TGGGTGTATGACTTTCAAACAAAATATGTCAAGGACCCTGGTCAGGTTATACTGGGATCAAAAATTTTCCAATATGGCAAATTCAAAATGGCTGCCATAAACAATTGACTTTTCTGAATCTTCGCAGCTGTCAATGATATACGAGTGGATTGTTCTAAGATATTTAAAGATACGACTTGACGCGATTATACCAACTACCCCTACATGTAACTAAACTGGATCAGTCAGTAACCGAATAAAGATTTTATCTATCTATCTTTCTATCTAATCCTGCTCCTTCCCACCCAAATTCAACCAAAGAGGATTGTCTACTGAAATATAAAGTTCAACTCCCAATTTGTCACCAGATATAAAGAAAGCCCTCGCGGGCCGCTTTAGCGGCCCGGCGCATCGCGCGGCATCTAGTTATACTATATATAGCTCGATTACCACTGACTGATCTAACTAGATACTGACATAATTGTTCTCCCAGAAGGAGTGCCGGTGGGTAAAAATAATGTACTAGACTCGTAGACGGATCGGTCCCGTGAGTACCAGAAAAATCCGAAATCTTCGAAAAGTGGACTGCATCAGGTGAACGCCTACGCGCGCGGCTAAAGTATAAGACCTACCGGAAAGGTGTTCTTACTAAAAATGGCCGCCACCCTGGTCAGTTTCTACCGGAAGTGAAAAAAATTCGAAATTCGTAAAAACAAGATGGCCGCCATACAAATTGCAGAGCTTTATATCTCGAAAACTACAAGAGGTAGGTGGGGGGTGCTCGACCAAATGTCATAGAGGGCGCCGGGGGTCAACTGCCGGTGACAAATTTTTTTCAAGATGGCCGACTCAAAATGGCGGCCCGAAAAAAAGGTGGTCCAATCCGGCCGAAATTTGGCACGCGGACGCGTATGGGGGCTTAGGTTACAAATCTGGGGTTAGAATTTTGATTCCGCCATTTTCCAAGATGGCCGCCATACATGTGAAACTTTCGCCCTTTGGAGTCATTTCTCGCCCAGAAGAAGGGTGGATAGGTACAAATGATGTAGGAGAGTAATGGTTATATCGGTCATATGAACGTCAAAAACTATTCAACTCTTTGAAATGTGCTCCGCATCAGGTACTACCCTAGCCATCCGGCCAAAGTATACGTCCAGGCTCAAAGTGCCCAAACAAATGTTCATACACACCCTGGGCAATTTTTAAGGAAAGTGAAAAAAGTTCAAAATTCTAAAAACAAAATGGCCGCCATACAAATTTTGAAAGCCTCTATCTCGGAAACTATTGGAGATAGGTGACTCGTGTTCAAACTAATATCGTAGATGGTGACAGGGTCTAACTGGCTATCGAAATTATTTTTTCAAAATGGCCGATTCAAGATGGCGGCCCGACAAAAAGGCGCTCCGATCCGGCTGAAATTTTAAACACTTCAATGTCTGGTAGTTCCTAAAAATAATATGTGGTCAAAATTTTGATTCCACCATTTTCCAATATGGCCGCCATACATTTTCTACCGTCTAATGTGTTTCGAGGCCTACATCTCGGCGAGTATTGAAGATAGGTGAAGCGCGTTCAAACGAATATGATAGAAGATGGTAAGAGCCAATTGGTGGTAAAAAAATATTTCAAAATGGCGGATTCAAAATGGCGGTTCGACAAAAAGGTGCTCAGATTTGGCTCAAATTCGACATCTGGCCATGTAAAGAAGTCCACAATACGAATTTGTGGTCAAAATTTTATTTACGCCAGTTTCCAAGATAGCCGCGCCATACATTTTTTATAGGACAATGTGTTTGG